CAGCTCATCAGCGAAGGAAGGAGGAGGAGAGGAAGCAGGAAATCGCGTGGTGGCGGGGCACCGACGATGGAAGCGTCAGTGTCTGGCGTCCATTCTTTCCACGCCTGGCCCGGTGACCATCACTTTCTCTCTGGCCCAGCCCTGATTGGCCTGGCCCTGATCGGCGCTGATCACTGGCCAGGCCGAGGGACCCCACCCATGCACGAATTTCGTGCACTGGGCCCCAATCTCATAATAAAATGTTAAAGAGATAAAATATGTTCTGTGACCATGTTGAGTAAGAACATGGGGACAGTGTGGAGCAGATAGAGGCAGGGAGTGGAGTGGTGAAGATAAGGGCAAGTTGGGTTGGCATCTTGCTTTCCCACTTAGCTATTATACCTTGAATGGGTTACTTAACCTCTTCAAGTTCTAGTTTCTTCATCTGGAGATTGGAGATGTTAATGTCTCCCTCCCTGAAATATCAGGTTAAATGAGATCATGCATGGATAGCATTTAGGACCATGCCTGAGACTTAGTAAGGGGTCAAAAAATGGTGTGGAAGAACCTTATCCAATCTCAGTGATTTCTCAGTCTCTGCCATTTAAGGCTCTGAACCTCACACCAGAGACCACATTGTCATAACCAGCCACTGGCTTCAACCTGCAGTTGGCCATGTGATGAAATAGGCAGGATTTGCTTCTCATAGAACGTTTCCTGACATTCCCAACTGGTCATCTTAAAGGCCAGCAGGAAGGTGCTTATGGATCCTTCTTAGCTTGTGACCTCATCCATCCATCCATCCATCCATCCATCCAATAAAAACTTCAGTGGGTCAGAGTGAAGGGAACCATGAACCAAGCACTGCATTTTGCATGGGGATATAGCGTGGAATGAAACTTATTCCTTGCCCTCAAGCTGCTTATGTTCCAGGAACTAGCCTTTCCCTGTGTTTTCCCTGGCTCTGTTCCTCAGCAACACCCAGCCTTAGTCACCCCTCCAGAATGCAAGATTCCTTTACAAGTCAGGCACACACAGCCACAGAAGGCAGGGCACGCGATGAGAGTTGGCAGTTACTGGGCCTGATCATTCTTTAGCTGCAGTGCTTGGGTATAATTCACCTTGGGAGTTTGGGAGGAGCAAAAGGTAGCCAGTAAGGCAAATCTGAGACTGCCTTATCTACAAATACTTTAATTCCAGTTGGCCTCCCCGTCACCCCCATTCCATGACCACTGTGCTTTTTTAACCTAGTCTCTCTCTTCCTTCTCTGTCTGCAATCTCTGTCTGAAATCCTTTTTTTCAAACAGCTTTCCTTTTGTAATCAAATATGCTCTCCACTCACCCACATCCCCATCCTGTCTCACCCTTACCCTGCCTCTCCAACCAACTGCACCAACAGTTCATGCTTCCTAGCCTCATAGTTACAAATTGGTCACAAAATTAGCATTAGCAAACCTGCCCAGGTTCTCTATGTGGCAATTTTTCCATTCATTTGTTTTACGGGAAAACTGGAGTAATAAACCGAACACAATAAAAATCGAAGGAGGAAGAATTTCATCTTTTTTACCTTTTTTCACGTTCACAATTATTTCAGTAAACCTCTCATTTGTGAAAACTGTTTATATTGAATGTTCTAGAAAATAAATTATTTTTCCCTTTCAAACATCATTTTAATATTGTTTATTGAGAACTGCCTGTATTTTACAACCTATAAAGTCTCATATATTCTTCACAAATAAGACCTACCATATGCCAAAAATATATAAGTAAATACAGTCTAAAGGAGAGACTACAATGAGTTCTGTATGATGAGATGAAATTTCAGAAGCTATAAGTTTGTGTGTGTGTGTGTGTGTATGTGTGTGTGTGTGTGTGTGTTTGGTCAAGGGAAAAAAAGATATTTTCCAATTATTTTGTGATTTTTATATCATTAAGTCTCCATGAAGCCTAAAAATAAAAAAAATTTTAAAAGAGTCGAAGCTCTGGACTCAGACATAGTCCAGGTTTTACTCTCCTTTCTACGATGTACTTGCTTGTTGAACTGATATAAAAATGAAAAGAGATAATAGATGTAAGCTGATTAACACAGCACCTCAACAAATAGTGGCACAGACCTCTAGCTGTGTGCCTGGAAGTCTGTTCCCCTCTTTCTTTAGTGACATAGCCCTGATTTTTATCTGAGCCTACAGACTTCCTCGCAGCCCTGAGACTAAGCCAATGAATTCTCAGCAGAAGCATTGCCTGGGACTTCCAGGAAGGTTTCCTAAATAGAGGAGACACTCTGGCCCTGGCCAGTGTGGCTCCATTGGCCGGGCATCATCCCGGGCACTGAAAGGTTGCCGGTTTGATTCCTGGTCAGGGCACATGCCCAGATTTCAGGCTCCATCCTGGGCGAGGGTGTGCAGGAGGCAGCCGATCCATGTTTTGCTCTCACATCACTGCCTCTCTCTCTCTCTCTCTCTCTCTCTCTCTCTCTCTCTCCCTCCCTCCTTTCCTCTCTCTCAAAATCAATAAAACTTATTCTTAAAAAAACTAGAGGAGACACTCTTCTTCATCCTTCTGCCTGTTATTGGTCTGGACTCTAAATGTGATGGCTGGTGCCCCAACTGCTTTTTTGGAGCATGTGGGGGCCACACCCTGGCGATGGCATTACAGAGAGCTACATTAAAGATCTTGGGTCCTTGATGAGCAGGGAGATGCCATTCTGGGTCTGGACTTCCTGAAGATTTTTTTTCGTAAAATATAAATTAATTGTTCTCATATTAAACCATTATTTTTCAGGTCTTAGCTTCTCAAAGTGAAGCTAATCCTAACTAATATACTATAATTATTATTGTCATCATTATTTTATTAGCCCTAGCTCACAATCCCGCTCTCGCACAGATCCCCTCTTTAGGCCATTAGAAACAGACTACATGTACAAAGAATTTTGCCTGGGTTCTAATATCTGCTGCCAACCCACTGGCACATTTAATGTGGGGGTGCCCTGCTGGCATGCATGGCATTCCCACTACATTCCCTCCATGGCTCTTCTTTCAGAATTCTCAACTGAGTGGGTGGGACTGAACCACCCTGAAAGTGGAGGATTTGGACCAGATAGAAAAGAGGTAGGAGTATTCCAGGTGGAGAAAACATTATCAAAAGGGGAAAGCAAATGGAGCGTAATTTGGGGACTAGAAGGAAAGTGACTGAGGGTTCCTGCCGAGGGTGGCAGGAATTGGGAAGGGGGGTAGGACCTGATTATGGAGGGTCTTCAAGGCCCAGTAGAACAGTTTGGACTTGACCCTGGAGGAAATAAAAAGTCAATTCAAGTTACTGAGCAAGGCAGTGACAGAAGGCAAGTGATGTTTGCAAAAGAATTAATCTGGCTGAAGTGTGCAAAACAGATTGAAGGCAGGAAGAGCCTGGAGACAGGGAGACCAGCATAAATCTTCCACCCAGTAATCAAATGGTCAAACATTGTCAACAGACTTTGAAAGGGGCTGTAGGAAACAGCAAAGTTAAAGTATAATGTAGTGATTTTGGTTAAACAGAGTAAGAAGACTTAAACAAAGCCTTTCCCCAGAACGACTCACACAGAGAAAGTAGCAAACTTCCAAATGGAGAAAACCGGTTCAGTCCTTTTGGAAAACAATTTGGCACTATGGATCAAGAGCCTTATGAATGTTCACACCCTTTGACCCAGTAAGTCAACTTCTGGGAATGCTAGGGAAATAATCCAAACCATAGAAAGAAAAAAAATGCGTGGAGATCTTAATCGCAGCAAATAATTAGAAACAATCTAAATGCTCAGCAGTCAGGGGTGGTTAAGCAAACTACGGCTCTGACTGAAATGTCACCCAGGCATTAACTCCGAGGGATAAGAAGACCAGGCAGATGACATAGAAAATGCCCCTGACATTATTAGAGGAAAGCAGGCTGCAAAATACGTCCAGTGTATATCACACAACAAACACCCCAAGTGCAGACAAAACCAGACTGAAAAGTAATATTCTAATTTACTCCCAGTTGTTTCATTGAGGTGGAGGGATAATTGTTTATTTTCTTTTTAAAAATTCTCTCCAATATGCTTTTGTTACATCTATGTTTTTGAATATAGGGAATGTCAAGGAGAAGTCTTACTTTTCATTCCAGTCACTCTGAATTGTTTGGCTTTTATAAAAATGTATTAAATATGTACGGCTTGTATGTTTTTTACTTTTTTTGTTGTTAATCTTCACCTGAGGATATTTTCCCATTGATTTTTAGAGAGAGTGGAAAGGAGGGGGAGAGACAGAAAGAGAGAAACACCAATGTGAGAGAGACACATTGATTGCAGCACACGCCCCCAACAGGGCCGGGGACCAAGCCCCCCACTGGGGTATGTGCCCTTGACTGGAATCGAACCCAGGACCCTTCAGTCCCTGGGCCAATGTTCTATCTACTGAGCCAAACCAGCTAGGGAGCTTGTATGTTTTTTAAAAATAAATGCTTTTTCAAAGACAAAAATAGATGTATAAACATGGAAACCATGAGCCATGTTCTTGTCTTCATAGGCACAGATACTTATATTCATCTTCTCTCTATGATGTGTGTGTGTTTTTTAAAGGTATAGGCTTTGGAGTTTAGAGGGTCTGAGTTTGTTTGTTTTAAAAATAATTTGTAATTGTAGTTGACATTTACTATTATATTAGTTTCAGGTGTACAGCATAGAGGTTAGACATGTATATAAAACTTACAAGGTGCTCCCACCAATAAGTCTAGCGCCCACCTAACACCATACATAGTTATTAGAGAATTATTGCCTATAATCCCTACTCTGTACTTTATATCCCTGGGTGTGTGTGTGGTGGGGTGAGTTTAAATCCCACCTTAGCTAGCTCACCTGTGAAGCAGGGAATAATGCCTTCCTTGTGCAGTCATTGCGGAAATGCAGGGGGAGAATGCAAGGAAATCTCCTAGCACGGTGCTCTGCAGTTAGGAAGCACACAGTGAATATCAACAGCCATGGTTTTCTCTTTTCTGTCTTCTGCCTCTTGCAGGTGGGGAGCTGTGGGTTTCCGAGGTGACTGTCTGAGGACGGAGACAGGACCCCTGAGCAGTGTCCTCAGCCTCCGCCACCTCACGTCCCTGTGCTGCAGCCACAGGACTTGTCCCACTCTGAGCCCACTGGGCAGGTTCTGCTCCTCCCTCTGCCTTCGCAGTGCTTCCCCCTCTGCCTGGACCGCACTTGAGGGGTACACTGAACTGACTGTGGAAGACAGGGTTTATTTTCGTAAGGCAGTTTCATGTTTTCAGGTAATCGGTTGGCATGTATTTATTAAGAATGGTTTTGCTAGTACGTTTTCAACATTTAGGTTGGAACATAAAGTGGCCTTTGCAGAAATCATTTTATGTCTCCCTCGACCCCAGATTTTATGTAAGTCCCCGTTGACACCCCTGCTCAAAGCTGCACAAGTCCCTTTGGAGGATGTTATATGATTTTAAAGGGTCACTGAGATTAGGACACAGAGGAGGAAGAAGACAAGAATGGTTGGAAATCACCTAGGGCAAAGCAAATTCATGCCAAAAAAAGATTTTGGGGGAGGAGCTGAATGGTACCACTAATGTCTCCAACATCCTGCTTAATAAAACTTTCATACGCAGCCATATTTCCCAAGTTTCTCAAGGACTGCTTAAGTGGGGACCCCTTCAAACTAGGTGGGGACTTATTAAAGTCCAAGGAGATGATGTTTATTGGCTCTGCATGGTCAGCTACGTCTGCAGGCTGTCAGGGAACGCAGCTCATTGCCTCTTGGGTGTCTGTCCCCAGCACACGGGGCACTGATGCTTTGGGAACATCCTTCCTCCCCTACCCCCATCCTGGATTCTGGTCTTGAACCAAGCATGTGGCCAGCCTGGGAATAAAAACACTGTATCTGACCCTTGGACCAGAGATTCTTCCCCTCCAGGAAGAAGAAAGCCAAGGGGACTGGTCACAGGAGAGGACAAAGCTGGGCCGGGGCTGTGTTCTCATCCCTCGCTGCTGCCCGACTCCTCTTGCCCAAGCACTGGCTCTCTCGCTCATTGGTTTCATTTTTTAGTCAGAGAGATGCTGTGACGTGAGCTGACTGAACAGAGGCAGGGACCCTGGCTTAGGTGCTGTTGAATTCCCAGCACCAGCCACCTGCTGGCCGTTTGCTGACAGTTTGATGAATAAATTAGTAACACTGCTTTCCATTCACTTCCACTCTCCCAGCTGTCCTCTTCCCAGGTCTTAGCTTCCCCTGGCAGATGGATGTTATGGCTACTCACTGCTATGTTCCAAACCATCTTTTCTTGTTACGGATTTTTAAAAGAATTATGGCTTTAAAAGAAAAAATATATAATGTTATTTAAATGCAAACAGGAAATCTGAATTCTGTTACCACATGGAGCAGAACTGCCTGGTTAGGGGGAAAAAAAATCTATGTTTTTGAAATAAAGAGAAAAATGGAAGAAGGAAGGAGGGAAGGGAGAGAGGGAAGAAAGAAAGAAGCAGAGAAAGATTGAGAAATAAATTTGAGTTCTGGTCCTGTGGCCCTGACTCAGCCACTCATGGCATTGTAACTTGGGCCTCAGTTTTTCTATCTGTAAAATGGGAGTTTGGACTGGATCAGTTTTTAGACAATGAGTGCATCAGAATCTCATGCAGGGAGCAGTTAATCATGTGAGTCCCTGAGCCCCATCCCCAAAGACTTTGGCTCTGGGCTGGGGGCCTGAGAACGTTGATGTTTAACAAGGTCAGCTGCAGTTGTCACAGAGTCACGTTGGGAAAACAGGATTTGATGATCTCAGAGAGACTGTGGCTGACTCCAAGGATAAGACTCTGGAATTGGGAGGTGAACCAGTATTCCTCATCTCTTGGGGTAATAGTCAACCACTTTGGAACTTCCTTTAACTCTGGTTTAGATGGGAATGACTCATTAATAAGTGCTGGCGGCAAGGGAATGGTACATTAGCATCTTAGAAATAAGCAGACTCGCAGGGTAGCCTTTGCCTTTCCTTGTTAGGACTTGTTAAATGGGATCAGGATTAACAGACACGGACTATAGTTACCTGTAGAGATGGGTACAGTCACTCCCATCAGGGGATATTTGTGCATTTTCTACGTACTTTCCCCTATGAGATATCATCTGCTCCTCAAGGCATAGGCCAGTGGTTCTCAACCTTCTGGCCCTTTAAATACAGTTCCTCATGTTGTGACCCAACCATAAAATTATTTTCGTTGCTACTTCATAACTGTAATGTTGCTACTGTTATGAATTGTAATGTAAATATCTGATATGCAGGATGGTCTTAGGCGACCCCTGTGAAAGGGTCGTTCGACCACCAAAGGGGTCGCGACCCACAGGTTGAGAACCGCCGGCATAGACTATCACTCCCATTTCACAGATGGGAAAACAGAGACACAGAGGCTTCTTGCCAGATTAGACAGTGCTCTTAATTGGCAGACACAGGGAAAGAGCTCAGATCTCCTGATTCCTAGTGTATTGCTTTTTCCAGAGTACCATGTTGCAGATAACTGCTTATTTATTAAACAAAGGACTGAGGAATTGTTAACAGTAGGTTTCTGAAACTTTTTACTTAAACTACTGATAAAGTTCCAGTGTAGACTGAGATGACTACTCTGATGAAATCAATGATAAAAATCCTAAGAAACCCTGGGGGTACAGTTCATGCAATCCAGTCTCATGGTGACGGGGCCTACATGTATATCATATATATTTGCATACTTGTGCTTTGGATCAGAGATTGAAAGGGATATACAAATGGTAGCAGTGACTAATCATGAGTAGCAGCATCATAGGTGGTTTTTACTTTCTTCTTTATACTTTTTATATATTGATTATATTCATGATATTTTCCATAATGAGTCATTTTCCCTTTTTTAATCCGAAAAATATACATGTAACCCATCTCTGTTTATAGATACTTCAGAGTTTCTGAGATGCTTTTACATATTTGTTATTTAATGTTATGACCGTTTGTAAGAAGTACTTTCGGCGGGTGTTATTTTATTATCTCCAGTTGACAAAGGAAGTAACTTCCCTAGTGTCAGACCACACAGATATAAGAGGGTGGACTGGGACACAAACCGGATCTCCCAGCTGCGCTGACATTTCTTCCCCCTCTGATCCCTGTGTTTGTATGAAGCACTTGGCCCCTCACACACTCCTTTCGTCCTGCCCTCACGTCCCCTCCCTCTGGGTAGCCTCTGCCTAGTGCAAGGAACCCCAAAGTGGGTCTTTCCCTGGGTCTCCATCCTCACGGTGCTGGGAGAAGCCTGAGGCCCTCGGAGGGGCGGATGTCCTCACGTTGGTGGGTTGGATCCTTTCCCTCAAGTGGGCCTATTGAGACAGAAGCACAGGTGCCCTGCTGCAGGGCCCCAGGTGAGAGGCCAGGAGGGAGAGAGGCAAGTGTCCCTGGCAACACGGGTGAGGTTGAGCCACTCTTGCTATTAGAGGGTAATCCAGGCACTGCCCACTGCATGAGCTGGATGCTAGGTGGCCACTGGAAAAGAGGTAGTGGTGCCGATGCTGTGCTGTGCTTCTGTGCTGCCAGGGACTATAAATGGCTCTCTGGGTGTTGGTTTCTTTCCTTCCTACAATCTGCCTATAGTCCCTGGACCACAGAACTGTAATTTTTTAAAAAAAATATATTTTATTGATTTTTTACAGAGAGGAAGGGAGAGGCATAGAGAGTTAAAAACATCGATGAGAGAGAAACATCGATCAGCTGCCTCCTGCACACTCCCCACTGGGGATGTGCCCGCAACCAAGGTACATGCCCTTGACCGGAATCGAACCTGGGACCCTTGAGTCCGCAGGCCAATGCTCTATCCACTGAGCCAAACCGGTCAGGGCCAGAACTGTGATTTGAGTCAAAGTAGGAGAAGAGGGCAATGCTGGGTTAAGAGGGTGGCGTGGGAATGGGAGGGACCTGACCAGGAATGGAACCTGAGGCCTCTTGGTGCATGCAACCAACTGAGCCACACCAGTCAGGGCCTGTTTTGATGTCTTGTTCTCAGATGAAAAACCTGTCAAGCCATTAGCTTGATAAGAACAGATACATCGTAACCGGTTTGGCTCAGTGGATAGAGCATCGACCTGTGGACTGAAAGGTCCCAGGTTCGATTCCGGTCAAGGGCATGTACCTTGGTTGCGGGCACATCTCCAGTAGGGAGTGTGCAGGAGGCAGCTGATCGATGTTTCTCTCTCATCGATGTTTCTAACTCTCTATCTCTCTCCCTTCCTCTCTGTAAAAAATCAATAAAATATTAAAAAAAAAAAAAAAGAACAGATACAATGCCTGATCCCCGCCTGAAGCTAAGAAGCAGCCCATTTGCTTCCCACCTAGACCTCGGCTATCTTCTAGCTCCTGCACATGGGGCCTCCCCCAATCCCTCCCTGGTGCCTTGTCTGGGGTTTGTACCTGACCCCCCTCCCCCATACCCAGCACTTCATTGTACCTATCCCTGCGATTTGTGGAAAGCAGTCTGAGAAGCAGACGAGCCAGGTAGAAGTTAAAGCAGAGATCTCAGGATTTAGCCAAATACAACATATACCTTAAGTTCATATGTTCCAAAGGTGTGACCAGCAAGAACCATCGTGGCTTGCAATTATCCATGGAATTGTGTGGGTTATTAAATTTGAAACAAGCAGCTCATGGTCCTGGAAAATAGAGGATTTGAGGGGAAAAGGGAAGAACACCTCAAACGGAAGAACTTGGTGCTTGCGAGGCTGTAGGTGGGTGGGGAGTGGATTCTGAGTAGCTGGCAGGAGTATGTGCTGGACAAGGCCTAGGAAAGTGCCCCCTGGGGATCTCCTCCTTGCTTGCTCTAATTCCAAACAACAGGCAGCGTTCTGTTTGCTCTCCCAAGACCCAATCCTGGCATGAAGAACTAATGGCGACCTTGAGGCCTCCTGCCCTCTGTCCGCCTGTGTCTTGTGCAACCTGATGCCATGCAGATCGAATGTGCCGTCCACCTTCTGAAGCCGCCCTGAGCCAGGAGCGGGAGAAGGGGAGAGGGTGTATGTCTTATAAAGAAGATGGGAGGTGACTGGGAGGGCTGGTTCCCTTGCCCTCGCCTCTACTTCTGTTCCTTGGACACTGTCCAGGTGGCCCAGACTCAGCGGAGTGACCCTGAACCAACTCAAGGTCTAACCTTTGGCAAACCAGTGCCGGGAATTTGATGTGTTTGGCTGAAGTGGGCAGCAGATCTAGGTCAAAGCGGTGTTTTACACGGCAGGGCTCTGTTAACACTGTGCACATGAAGTCAGAGTGGCAGTGAGGAGTAAGGATGCCCAGACTAAGGGTTCAACGAGCTGGCTGAGGGCCCGTGACTGCGTGGCTGTTGGCAGTGCCTTACCCTTCCTCAGCATCTGATTTCTCATTGATAAAATGCAGATAGTAATTCCTGCCACGCCTAACACACGGCATTTTTGTGAGACTCCCAGTTGAGCCGATTTACAACACGTGATATAAAGTGGTAGAACGCACACGGCTCCCCATATGTTTCCCTCAGACAGTGGTTGTGAAGGTCACCTAAGTAGTTAACTCAATGACCAGCACATAATAGACACAGTACATTATTATAAGTAATTATCATCGTTGCTTATAAGAATTCTAGATACGCAAGTGTGATCTTAGACCACAGAACCATATAAAATGTAAATTCTTATTTTTATCTTTTATTTTGCTGCTAGTAGGATCACACGGCCATGGGTCCCAGCCCAAGCAGATTTCTCCATCCAGGTGACTTTAGTAACCCCCCTGCCATCCTCCTTGCATTTGGCAACTCCCCATTTCAGCCCTCTGCCGAGTCTCTTCCTCAAACATCACCCCATCGCACTGTCCCTCTTGAAGCACAGTGTCTCTGATGGGCGTCGACCTCAGCACCCTCCAGTTTGGTCTTTGAAGCAGCCTCCCTGCTCCACTCTCCGGAGCAGTCATTTATCCTCCATAATGCTGCTATTCCTTGAGTCATCACTGACAGATGAAACACTCTGGTCCCTTCTCCCTTCTTCAGACTCAACTCTTCTTCAAAATCCATATCAACTCCTTCTTTTGGGAAACTTCCTCTGACTTCACCAGTCCACAGATCACCCAGCTTGTGTTGGCTCTGTTTGTATTCTCTGATGTTGCTTTTGCCTGAATGTGACTTTCTAAATGTTCTTTGCGCCATGTGGCAGGGACCAGGTCTTCTGTTTCTTTGGATCCCTGACCAGCACTTAGTGGGATGTGCTGCACTTGGAGGCATTCTGCAGAGACTGTCCTTGACCATGAGGCCCTCGCCTCATGATCTACACGCCTAGGCCCCTCTTTCGCAGCAGAAGTTCCTTGAGGAAAGGTGCCGCCCTTCAATGAAATATCCTTGTCAGATGCCAGGGTGGGTCCCTACCTCTCGCCCCACCCAGGGAAAGCTTTCAGCTGGTGCCTGCAGAGGGCAAACCCTGCATGACTCACGGTTTCCCTACTCAGGTATAATGGTTCCAGTTCTCCAGTTAGACAGAAACCTTGCAGCCAAAAGAAACCCATGCAAGGAGTACATTGGGGCTTTGGATCAGTGTTTCTGTAGCAAACTGAGATTTTTTTTCTCCTTGTTCATTTTTCTGTGTCTCTCTGTGGGTGAATGCCAGGATGTAACTCCCCCAGACACCTCTGATTTGGTTCCAGGCCTCCCTGAGAGGCCCAGAATCTAAGACATCTGATGCCATGGTGTCATTGGTGGGGAGGCGCTTAGGAAGAAAGTGCAATCCTGAGCTTGCTTCGGTGTGCAGATTTGCTCCCAAGTTTGTCTTCTCTCCTTTGGTTTCTGTTCACGTGGCATTTGTGTGTGTGTTCGGCAGCGGAGCTATAAGATAGGTCAGATCCTGTCTGCCCTGGAGAGTCTCACCAGCTGGTGGAACTTCTCGTCACCGGAGGGAGGCCTCTATGAAGGCCCCTCAATTCCTGCTCTTCTCTCTCCCATAAACTTTTAAAGTTCAACACCAATTTGAGAATATTTTGAAAGTTATGGATTCTTTCCCTGGGAAAAAAAGAGCACACATATCCAATAGTCTGCATAAAACTCCAGGAAGTTTACAGACCCCATGAAGCCCATCCACAAACCCCCTAAGCCCTAGGTAAGGAACACTCCTGCTCTTAAAAAAAAATCAACAAGGATGAGGAGAGGAGGGGGGAAAAAAGAACACCTAAAAATGGAGTGCAAACAGAAACAAAAGCAACTAATTCTATTTCAAATAAATAACATTACCACATCGAAGGGAGAGTAAGCAAACCAACAAATTAAAACTAATGAATATTGAATTCTAGTTAGAAAGAGTTTTTGCTACAGTGGTATGGTTTAGCAATCCTGAAATACTTTTTGTGTGCTGTTGGATTGAGCAAATAAATAAATATACTGGGGATTATGGGAGTCAGTTCTTGCTGGTGGAGAAAAGAGTTATAAATATAAAGAAAGGGCTCTAGCCGGGTTGGCTCAGTGGATAGAGCTTTGGCCTGTGGACCAAAGGATCCTGGGTTCAATTCCAGTCAAGGGCATGTACCTCGGTTGCAGGTTCCTCCCCAGCCCGGGCCCTGTTTGGGGTGCCTGCAGGAGGCAACCAATCGATGTGTTTCTCTCAGATCGATGTTTCTCTCTGTCTTTCCCTCTAAAAATCAATGGAAAAATATCCTTGGGTGAGGATTTAAACAAAAAAGTACTTTCTCTAGAAAAAAAATAAATGTAAAGAAAGGGAAGACTAAAATGAATCTTGTATTGGATTGGAATGGAGGTATCTATAGGAGTTCCTGTGTGTGTGTGTGTGTGTGTGTGTGTGTGTGTGTGTATAGATATAGACATGAATTAAGATATACATACTTATTTATATTTCTTAGTTCTGTTTGCTAACAGGCTTAGAAGTAGACACTCAGTCACACTGATCACACCTGGCATCTAGATCTTGGTTTCTAAATACTGTACTATTCTCCACTAAAAGGAACCAGGGCTCCTTGGAGAAATGGCTGCTTTTAGGGCTGAGAGAGGGAAAGTACAAAATGAGCCTAGAATATCCTGTTGTACCAGAAAGCAAGGAAGTGCTAAAAAGATAATGGTGATATGTCAAAAGAACAGAGGAATCAGAAGGGGCTCCTGTTGGTCAAATCTGGTACAATCTGTAACAATGGTAATATTACCATAGAGTAGTCATAGAATAAAATAAGAATCTATGCCCTCATACCAATGTAAAGAAAGAAAGAAAGAAAAGCTTTTCCTTATAGCAGATTTAATAAACTAGTAAATATAGAAGGAATAATGAAGTTAGAATATCATCATTGTGCAACTGTTATAGCAATAAATGATGTAGACAAGAATTATCAATGGATGCCAAAACTTGGAAGTTTGATGAAGAATAGGATATTTATATAAACTGAAAGTTCCTCCTTACAAATTATTTATTAACTACAAAAGGAAAAAGTGAACACAACCATAAACAGCTGATCAAAACTAACAATACCGATAAAGAGACAAACTGACCTCATGTGATGAAGAATAGGATATTTATATAAACTGAAAGTTCCTCCTTACAAATTATTTATTAACTACATAACCTGAATCTAATTATGAAGAACATCAAGCAAAACAAATTGAAGGACATTCTACTACACAACTGGCCTGTAATCTAAAAAATAAAATAAGTTCATGAAAGAAAAAGGAAGGCTGAGGACCTGATCTAGAATAAAGAGATGTAAGTGCAATGTGTGATCTGCACTGGATGCTGGATTAGCAGGGAAAATAGCTATAAAATAGGACATTATTGGAACAGTTGGTGAAATTTGAATATGGATTGTGGATCAGATAATAATTTTGTATCAATGCTACATTTCCTGATTTTGATAATTGTGGGTATATAAGAAAAAGTTCTTAGAAAGTACACACTGAAGTATTTAGCAATAAAAAGGGCATAAGTAGTTCAGAAAAATGTGTGTGTGTGTGTGTGTGTGTGTGTGTGTGTGCTCACGCACAGATATATATGAATAAAATGGTAAACCACCTGGGGCAAAATTTTAGCAGTTAGAAAATAGCAATAAATGTTTGGGGGACATTTTTATAATCATGAAATTATATACAAATTAAAAGTAGAAAAATATTTGCACTAAATTGGAACTACCACACATTGCTGGCAGGAGTACAAATTGATATGAGCACTTGTGGAACTCTGGTAATATCTATTAAGGCTAAACATATACATCCCTAGTCCCAGCAAGTCCACTCTTACATTTTTATTTTTTTAAATATTTTTATTGATTTCAAGAGTAAGGGAGAGGGAGAGATAGAAACATCGATGATGAGAGAGAATCATTGATCGGCTGCCTCCTGCACACCCCACAGTGGGGATTGAGCCCGCAACCCGGAATCAAACTGTGACCTCCTGGTTCATAGGTCAACGCTCAACCATTGAACCATACCAGCCATGCTGAACTGCTAAAGACATGGGTGGTCTTGAGCAGCAGAGGGCTCCCAAACATGGAGTGGGGGTGGGGAACCTCTCTGTCCAGCATGCTTTAGAGCAGCGGTTCTCAACCTGTGGGTCGCGACCCCTTTGGGGGTTGAACGACCCTTTCACAGGGGTCGCCTAAGACCATAGGAAAACACATATATAATTACATATTGTTTTTGTGATTAATCACTATGCTTTAATTATGTTCAATTTGTAACAATGAAAATACATCCTGCATATCAGATATTTACATGACGATTCATAACAGTAGCAAAATTACAGTTATGAAGTAGCAACGAAAATAATTTTATGGTTGGGGGTCACCACAACATGAGGAACTGCATTAAAGGGTCGCGGCATTAGGAAGGTTGAGAACCACTGCTTTAGAGTGAGGTTAGGCTAAGCAGTAATGTGAAGCAAGATGACTTCTAAGAAATCATCCTACCTCTGACATTCCTGCTGGCCAGCCTCATCCCTTCCACCCTGTACCCTGCACCCTGGTCTCCAGTCAGGATCTCTTCAGCACCTGCCGAGAGGTGGCACCAAACTGTCTCCTCGTTCTGACCGTGTCCACACCTGCCCTACCTACTCTCCTCTTAGTCATTCAGCAATGCTCTTGATAATACATTACTATAAAGGTGCAGCAAGGACTGACTGAATAAGCATTTGTACCTTTTTACAAGGGAACATTGTGGTTATTCATATTGAGGTGATGGAAGAAAACCTAATAATGTGGAAAGACAGGCACCTATTATGAAGTTGGTTGCAATGTGATCTGCTTTTGGAAAATTTTAAAAAATGCATGAAAATACTAGATGTACTTGTAAACCAGGGGGCGGGGGGAAAGAAAATACTAGATGTACCTCAAAATGTTGTCATATTCTCTGGGTAATGGGACTAGAGGTATTTTCTTAAGTGTGATTTCTAAATTGTATAAAAATTAGCATTAATCAACTTTTATTGGCTTTTATGAAAGATTTTTTTTCTACTGTTCAGCAAAGCCACCTCTTTTCTGTTAACTCTGACCTGCACTTATCTCATCTTTCTGTCCCTAAACCTCATTATTGGTTCTGTATAACCCAGTATGAAGCTATAATGTCTTGTATTATTACAAGATACTTTCATTCCTGTTTATCTTATACCTTCAATGAAGAAAAGTTTTCTCTGGTCAAATTGTGACTTATTTTTTCACTTTCCCCATCGCGTAGCACTATGCAGAAAGTGGCCACTTGATTGTGACTTGGTCCTGGGTCCTCAAGGCTCCACATAACTCACAGCTCTCATGGGGACGGTGCGCCCCAGGGAAGTGAGGCTTACTTATTCCTGACCCAGGTGTCCAGTCCCTGCCATTCCAGATTGCTCAACCTATAGTCTGTTCTGCCTCTATCTCCTCTAGTGACTGGGCTAATGCCCTGTCCAACATCCAAACTGACTGTTCTCCAGTAGCTAGAGCACAAGCAGGATTAGATGGTCACCTTTGCATTTTTTTCTCATTATTTGTGAACTGTATTAGAGCTCAGGGGGTTTTTAGTGACTACCATTCTTTGAGAAATTACCCCATATCCATTCTTGAAAAATGGGCCTTATTGCCATAGTGCCTACTGTGGTCCGGATCCTCTGCCAGGCAGTAGCTCTGCAAAGGTGCCTGATTGCAGGGAAAGGTCCGGAGAGGCATCCCTTTGTTCTCATGCTTAGTCCGTGCTGGGAGGCAGCTGTTTTACTAGCCAGCCTTCTGAATTGACCTCCGCAATGCTTTTTGCTTCGTGAGTCAAACTCCAGAGACCACCGTTTAACACTATTAACATCTCTCTTTTCCATCGCTAAATCAGAAGGGTGACATAGTTTACTTAAACAAGGCTTAGAACAGGCGACCCTGCTGTTTTCTTGACAGTTTTATTTGAAATGCATTCAGACATGATTCTCCATAGATACTTGAAGGGCTGTCAGGTAGAAGGAGGACAAGATTTGTTCTGTAACCAAATCCTATTGATTCTACAACCCTAACGTTGCTCCAGTTTTGCTCTTCCTCCATCTCCCTTGCCACCGTCCTGGTCCAGACCACCTTGCAGCCTTGCCTGGATGGCTGTGATAGCCTCCTGACCCGTCTGCCAGCCTGTCCAGTCTTGCTCCTCTAATCCTTTCTCAGAGAGCCTCAATAATCTGTTTAAATTGTAAATCTGATCACACCCCGCCTCTGCTTCAAATCCTGTAATGCTTCTGCATTGCCTTCAGGATAAACTCTAAACTCCTTAGTATTGCTTTTAAAACCCAGTCCCTGCTTAGCTCGCTAGCAGGACGCCTCCCAGATTGTCAGCCTTACAAAACCACTTGCACACCAAACCCCGAACACTTCTTATTCTCTTACCTCCAGATTTTGCTGAGAACATTTCCCCTCCCCCTCTTCATGTAGTTAGCTTGTCTTCCAGGCGTCACCCTGATGTCACTTCCTCCAAAAGCCTACCCCCAGTCATAGCCTCTACGAGCTTTGCTTACCTATAAAATAGATACCTGCACTACCTACTTCTCAGATTTTGAGCAAGATGAGATCATGAATGTTAAATTACTTGTAAAAGCCTTAAAATGAAAGATACTATTTATCATCTAATCTGCGACCTGCCCCTTGCTAATTTTAGTTTTGCAACTGCATTAGAAAACTAAGTGCCACATGGGAAGTCTGACTGCTGCAGGCAGAGCTGAGAATGAGGACAGAGAGATCTACTTTTCCTGAGTCATAACACTGCCCTCGGGAAAAGACAACAGTGGGATCAAGAGCGCCTCTTTAGCCTGGCCGTGGCTCAGTGATTGAGCACAGACCTATGAACCAGGTCACAGTTTGATTCCTGGTCAAGGCACATGCCCAGGTTGTGGGCTCGGCCCCCAGTGTGGGGGTGTGCAGGAGGCAGCCAATCAATGATTCTCTCTCATCATTGATGTTTCTATCTCTCACTCCCTCTCTGAAATCAATAAAAATATATTTTAAAAACAAAATAGGAAATCCATTAAAGCTATATAAAATAAATAAATAAATAAATAAAAGAGCGCCTATTTAGCTAAGCTCTGTCAAAGGCCCATTGTTCCTGCCATTAGGGAGATTCCTTGGCGCCTAATTACTAAAACAAGAGGAGTGGGACCCCAGGGTTTTAAATCACCGTGAAAATCAGCAGAAACCAAACTATACACATATGCAATAGACCTTCCTTCTCGGCCCCTTCATTGATGCTTCAAGTCAAGAACAGTTGATGCATTTCACCTCCCCTTTGGCTAGAAAAACCCAATGAAACCATTTAACTTAAACGTTTTTTATTAGGAACCAGGGGATTGAGCTGCTTATCCCTCTCTAACAGTCGAGAGCAGGTCATCAGGCCCAGGATGGAGAGGTTGTCCACGTGCTGTGGTGTGCTTTGTTGCACTTGCTTAGGGCCTGGAAGGAAAGGTGGCGCATCGGAGGTTGGCAGTAACTGGTGTTAGCCAAAACACCAACAGCCTGGGGAGAGCCTTCTACTTTCCTTCCAACTCCACTCAAGGCTGGAGCATGCCAGGAGACAGAGAATGCGGCTGGAGTGAGTAGAGCACAGCAGTGTTGTCTGAACCCCCAACTTCATTCAGTGCTACTTCACTTGCCTGCCCTCCACTCTTCTTGCCGTTTAGTGATCAGGTATTTGAAGAACTCATACACAGACCATGCGATGGCTGTGGAGGGAATCTGGTAAATTACTCTCGCTTGCACCCCTCGGAAGTAGGCGGTCACACCACCTACTTGATATACCGTCCTGAAGGCACTAGCCATGCCTGTAATATGTCCTGTGAAGTTTGAGTTCAAAGCCAGGGATTCCTGGGTGTTGAGCAGTGTTTTGCAAACGTCCAGTGGGGTTGTGACAGCGGCAGCTACAGCTCCTGCACAGGCTCCGGAGACAACATGGGAGCTGGGATTGTACCGTCTCTGGGGGTTAAAGTGCTCCTGCAGGAATTCATAGGTCATGAAGTGAATGGCTTGGAAGGGAACGTTCATGGTCAGCTGGGTGGTGTAGCTGCGGTAAAAGGCTCCGGCCCCTTCATTTTGCCACACTGCCCGTACACAGTCTGTCACCCGGTGGTAAGGTGAGTTGTACATCTGCATCCTTTGCTTGACCACTGGCAATGCCATCAACGAGAAGGAAGAAACGGCGACAACAACCAACCGGTGAGCAAGTGTCCAGATTCAGAGTCCCAGGGGAGCAGATCAGCCAATGGAATGGAGACAGAAAAAAATATGAGCGAGCTGTCAGCCTGATAAGGTTTCCCTTCTTTGAGAGAAGGGGATCTGAGAGGGTTTGCAAAAAGCCCAAAAATAATGGACCCACTTTCAGCAAGATTTCTTTAAAACCAGCTAAATAACACCTAAGATAGAGGGTTTCCTTGAAATAAGTAATTACCTATCATTATATCATGATTATGTTACCTTTTTGTAACTCCCGAAACAAGAAATGACTTGGTGGCAGTGAACACAGTGCATCCTCAGGTACTACGAGCACCTAACTCTTACCACATGAGGATGGCTATACCTCCCACAGGAGAAGAGTACTACCAGAAAGAAAACAAAATTCCTAGCCAAGAGTGTGGCTTCAGTTTCCAAATATGTATCTTCTACTCCCTCAGGTAGACTACATGGTATGAGCTCTGTGGATCTTCACTTTAGTTTTGGCCCTTTGCACACCATGGCCTTGCCCAGACAGGCAAAGAACTGGAAGTTAAGGAACATGGCAATTATGCTATCCCTTCATATTTGCTTGACTACCTCATCATCCAACTAAAATGCCAAGATCCAAGCCACAGTGCAGGGACTGAACTCTACAATTCACCCTTTCATTCCTATCTCAATGATCTTTATTCCAACAAGGCAGTATTTTCAAATGTGAAAATCCATCTTGATCTCTTTGAAGTGAAATAATCTGCTAATATTTAAGATGAGATCAATTGCACTACAAAGGGGACTTCCAAGAAGGCCCAGAAACAGGCCACGTAGAGCCATATCTTTTCCCAAGGAAGCCCTAAAGATGAATTAAACTCAATGAATATGCTACCAGTCCAAGGGGCTCTTCCTAAATTCGGACATGGACGGAGCACCCTCTAGTGGTAAGACAAGGTAACATGGCAGGATTTCCCACCAAAACTCAGGTGTTTCTCAGCTTTCTTCTGCAAACCAGAAATAATAGATGCAGATGCTGGTGCCCACAAAGGGAAAGTTTGAGAAATGATTACCTTCAGCTGGATTCATGGCTGCATCATGAAGTAATGTAGCTACACACCCGGCCGCACCTGCAAAGGAGAAAACAACTGCCACATGTAAGGTCTGGAGAGGGCGACTGATTCACTGAGGCTGAGTGAAGGGAAGTGGCTGTGCTAAACCACAGTGGGGTGAGGGAATGCTAAGAGCCAGTTCAAAAGATGGGAACCCACTGCTCCTAAATTCCTGTTCTGAGAAATGAAGATATTTGTTCCCACCAACTTAGTAAGGTCACCAATGTACTTTCCACATCTAGAATACTAAGGGCAGGAAGAATCAAAGAAAATGGCCCAGATTTTATCAATAAAGATTCCAAGAATAGGCCCTGGCCAGGTAGCTCAGTTGGTTAGAGCATTGTCCTGATACGCCAAGGTTGGGTGCTCAATCCCCGATCAGGGCACATACAAGAACCAACCAATGAATGCATTAATAAGTGGAACATCAAATTGATTGTTCTCTCTTTCTCTCTAAAATCAATTTTTAAACTTTCTTTAAAAATTATGGTTCCAAGAATAAATTCACTTCATGCCCCAATAGGAAGCAGATACACTGCTGCCAAGGAATGCCAGCGCATCAACTGCCTCCAGAGGGGGGAGGACATGAGAGGCAGGTGCCAGATCGTCACCAAAGAATCTCACCTTCTATCCCGATGCCCCTATGCAGCCCAACCTGCCTCCAAATCTTAACATCTGTCCATCTACCTTTCTTCAAGTCCCGAACTACCATATTCCTCACCCTCTGTTCTCTACACTCATTTTGGTTTTTGGGCGATCCTCAATCTCCAGGCTGCTACTGGAGATTCCCTTACTTCCATAACTTCAACCCTCTGGTTTCTCCATACAGAAGTCCCTTGGCCCCACCCCCATTCACTTGTTGAGGTCTTGTCATGTCCTCAATGACAAAAACTGCCACTAGTCAGTTGGGATCCTGAAAAGGTGAGGCGAAGAGCTGGGGCTCCATTAGTGTCTTCCTTGGGTGGCTGGGTCACCTCCGATCCTGCTGAGGAGCAGGACACCACCCGACTATCAAGAATATACAACGGGGTAGTTCAGTGTGTGTCTCCACATTACCAGGGCATTAGCAGTTGATGCCAGGGAGATGATGAGAGGAAAGAGTCAAGCTGGTAGGTAAGGGAGGATATTGTAACCCTTTGTTGAGGTGCCCCAAAGGAGGGGTGGGGTTGAAGCGGCCGGTTGTCTGAGAACATCAGGTTTGGAAGTCCCTCCCTATAATCTGGCCTACCCCAGCCCAAAGCTTCAGCTCCAAACCATGCTGAGACTGGAAAGCATTGATAGCAGCAAAGCCCAAAGAGTTGGGAAAATGGGGGAACCAGCACAGGAAGGCTCAATACCATTGGCAATATGGCTATTGCCCCCAGGATGGATTACATCACTCAATGTCTTTTTTAATTTTTCGTAGCAGGCAAAATAGAGGGCATGGGCAGGCCCTGCGCCTGTTGCTGTGACATTCAGCCCCCGCATGGGCCTCCACAGGCCCTCGGTTCTTATAATCCTCCAGAGAGCCTCCAACACATTGCGATAGCGGGCCGCAGGGTCGGGCTGTAGGCTCTGCATTCGGGTCTGAAATTACAGAAAGAAGAAGTGCAATGTCAGTAATGCCAAGTTCTCGCTCAACCTCAACATTCAGGCTTTAGGCACTATGCAGACCTTCTTTGTGGCATCAAGCCAGTGGGCAGGAGTGATACCTGGCATCCAGTTTTGCTTGCTTCCAAATTTATATCCGATCTTTCTAACCCTTGGACCTTTCTTTTTCTACTCATTTATGACCCTAAGAACAGAGTAACATTATTTTCCCCGAGAATATCACCCCTTGGTAAGTGTCCTGGAACTCCAAAGTGATTCACAGCCCCAGCAACAAATATCAAGCCTGTGTTTCAGATGTTTTTGCGCCTTAATAACTCAGGCTAAGAACTCTACAAATGGATTCTAAAGTCAAGTATTTATTGTCTACACATACTGATGCATTTCTGAAGATTGATCGTAGGCTTCCTTCCTGACCAAATACTACACTGACTAATGAGATGATGATGGCTCATCTTTTGATAAAACTGAGATTTGATAACCTGACTTTTTCACAGTGTTTGGCATTGGCAGCTGGGTCTGCAAGATCAAATCTCAGCAAAAGTAGCATTCCTAATAGATACTGCTCCAATTTCCTGGGAAGAAAGTTTACCCTGAAACTATGAAGTTGGAAATCAACCTAGTCTCTAAAATTGAAGAGGCTTTCAAAATTCTAATCTAAATTGACCAAATCCCCAAACTGGCATCAGTGAATAAAATCAGTCTCCGTAAAATATAATCTTTGGAACCTCCAGAGGATTCAAAGACTGGAATGAAAGTTTATGGTAGATACATTTTTTCTTTTAACTTCTGTTACATGTAATACCATGGACGAATCCAACAAGCATAATATTAAATGAAGTAATTCAGACACAAGAGTGTATATTGTATGATTCCATTTACCAGTATATGAGTCTGTCAATGTACCAGTAAAAAAATGTCCAAGCTTGTAGAGAATTTTTTAAGAGGTTATTTGAGCCAAACTGACAACATATGCCAGGGAAGGGAGCAAGATCTCAAATGTTGCCAGTAGTCACTTTGCATGATATTCCTTGACAAAGTTTTATTAAAATTTGTCAAATAAATCTTATTTGAAACACTTCCCAAAAGAGGAAGTTTCTCTGAAGGTTGTGTCTCTCAATGAAGATCTCTTGTCTCTTAATCCATTTCAAGATTAAGATGGCACAGGGACTCATAGAATATAAAATCAGTATCTAGTGCCTGGAACACAGTAGGCACCCAACATGTGTTTGTTGAACGAATAAGTGAAAGACTTAATGAATCTTAGCTGTGTCTGCACCAGTTCAAAAAGTAGCAAATCGGCCACTAGTGAGCCAGTAGGGATAACTAAAGCCCAAGTACAGTTAAAATTCCCACTTCAATCTAATCACTGATTGAATCTGCATTTAAAAGCTTGAACCTTCCTGTTGGCCATTTGGAACCCAAGAGTAATGCCTTTCTCAAGAGCATGGGAGAAAAGAAACTAACTAAATTAACAGAATCCAGATTAACAGGTCCTAGTTAGCCACAAGCAATCCACATTCCTCTATATTATTCCTCTATTTTCCTGCCTGCTACCAACAAAGAACTGGAAGCTTGAAAGCTTAATTACTGTAAGTTCAATCAAAAATACACAGTATAACAACACATAGTATAACAACACATTTGTTTCCACTTCTCAAAATAAAAAAAAAGAATATAGGTTGTGCTTACTGATAGGTTGTGCTTACTGATCTTTCACATCACCCAGGGGCATAAAATCCATCAGATGAATTATTCAGAGAGACTATACGTCTTTGTTGGCTATGGCTACTAATAGATAAATTGGGCCCAGTGGCTTAACAATTATGTGTTTCCATATATTTGTTTGAAACTGATCTTGTATAGGGAGAATGTTCAGAAATTGTACTGCTTTACTGGAGTCAATAGCATATTTAGGTAACCAGTCTACTTTTTAAAAAATATATTTTTATTGATTTCAGAGGAAGGGAGAGATAGAAACATTAATGATAATGAGAGAATCGCTTGGCTATCTCCTGAACACCCGAACTGGGGATCAAGCCTGCAACCCAGGCATGTGCCCTGACCAGGAATTGAACCATGACCTCCTGGTTCATAGGTCAATGCTCAACCACCAAGCCACACTGGCTGGCCTAGGCAACCAGTTTTGAAAGATCTGGCCTCAGAGGTAAGACCTTTGAAACCTGGAGGTAAGCCACTCTGAATATTTTACACACATCTAAACCTAACTCACAATTCTAATTCAATGAAAGTAAGCCCTTATAAAGAGGACCCAGGCATAAGTTTGCCAATTATAAAAATGAATATATTTTTCCCTACTTTGGAAAAAGATGAAATCTCTAAAAATTAATAGCCTTCAATATAAAAATCCCGGCTTTGAAGAAAAGCCAAACAAACTATTAGGGAGATCAGTGGTTTGGTAAGACAAGCCACATTTGAGTCAGAAAGCCTGAGTTTAAGCCCCAGCTTAGCTAAATGTGTGGTCTTGGGTATGTCAACCTTTCTGAGCTTCAATATTAAACACAATACTGCATAGTCTATAGCATAAGATTAAGAATGGCTGGCTCATAGAGCTGTTGTGAGGATTCAAAGATTTAAGGCATGTAAAAGCCATTGGTAATTTATAAGGTATTAGAAATAGGCTTTTTATTGTTTTCAAATATGGTTCTCAGAAATATTAGTTCATATCTTAAAATTTACAGATCATGGCAGTGTTGTAAATTGTATGTCATTCCACAAATATGCATGGACAACTAACTGGTCCTTAACCACTAATAAATCAAGTTTAATTTAGTTTTTTGTTTTTTTGTTTCATTTTAAAGCTTCTCTGTGCCCTGGCTGATGTGGCTCAGTTGGTCGGAGTGTCATGCCATATGCTGAAAGGTCTTGGGTTTGATTCCCAGTCAGGGCACAGATCTAGGTTACAAATTTGACCCCCAGCCTGTCCCCAGTCAGGGAGCATGTGGAAGGCAACTGATCGATATTTCTCTTTCACATTGATGTTTCTTTTTTTTCTCTCCTCTTCCCTCTCTCCCTCCCTCTTCCCCCCCCCCCTCCCCGTCTCTAAAAATCAATGAAAATGTCCTCAGATGAGAATTAGCTTCTCTGTAGCTATAATTATATGTCCAGCTTTTAATCCGTAGGCCATGTTTAGGAACCAGCACTACTGTGAAATTCTGTGCTTTACTTGGTTCTGGAAATCTGCTTTTGAGATGCTGTATGGAAGGCTTGGGAGTCACACTGGGTTCAAATCATGACTGTACCACTTAAATTATATGACCTTGGACAAGTTACTTAACTTGCCTCCTTTTCTTCATCTGTAAAATATTGAAAATGGTGTCTACTTCATGAAGTTGTTTCAATGATTACATAAATAAATGAATATAAGGCATGTCAGATAGTGCTTGGCAAGTAAGAACAGTTGCCATTTATTGAATATTTATTGTTATTAATAGATGCAAGAAAATCAATACGCCAATGTTTCCATTTCTTAATCTTTCATCAAATGTGTTATAGATATCCATTTACATCTGGAGTTTAGAAAAATGCCCCTCTAACTTATGGGAGTAGATTATTTGCTTCACTATTACAGAGCCAAAAAGTGGCACCTTGGTGACTGGTGGGTACTTTGCCAGATGGTTTTGAGAAGAGTTCTGTCTGCTTTGAGTTGCAGAGCCTATCCCTATAGATAAAGCCTGGTACTTGCCTCCCAGAAAAGGAAAACTGGGATTTATTTGGGTTCTCAAACTACCCTGTGACTATGGAAATAGTTGGCTGGATAATTACGGCCGAGCAAGGCTATGCTGACTTCCCATGGTCCCTCCCAAGGACATTTTAAGTGGACTTGACCCAGAGAAGTGGCTGGGGGTACACAGGGCTGCACGGCAAGAAGCAATGTCAGCTTTCATGTGCTAATACTGTGGTTGCATAGAGGCTCCAACACAGATAACTGCCTCCAGCCTTAGGGTACAGCTGGGTAGCTCTTCTTCACTACCACTCACTTATGGTAAAGAGGAAGAAGAGCTGCCAGGGACAAGTGAACTGTGAAGCCTTTTCTGAAGGAAGAGGTTTGAATTTTACTTTCATGTCTGCACAAGTCTTTAACATACGTCCTGACACCAAATCCTACTGATCTCACCTAGTTCTTCCCTCTAGTCATTTAAGTCCCAGCATTAATGACAAATGAAAATGATTCTTCTAAAGTAGTTTTTGTGTTTTTGAAGACTCTTTAGCATTTTTCTTCCAGATCAAAAAATTATTTCTTTTAATGTAGGGCAATGAGGCATGACTATAATGTTGTATGACTAAGTGAAAAAAAAATTCTAAAGCTTATGTAAATGAGTAAGAACTGTTCTTCAAAAATAACTGTAGTTACCTTGGAAGGCTAGAAGTGACTCCTGGCAATGCTGTGGTTATGCAAAACATTTCTGGCACTCTTCTTCAGAAGGGGTTCCCTCAATGGATTTCTCAGTCTAGGAGTTCGTAGGTCTCCTAGCTTTTTGGTCCCACCTTATCTTTGACCCTAATCAGTATTACACATTTTGACCTCCCACCTTATCTGACATGCTTGATTCTGAATGGTCTCAGTTACTAAAAATTCAATTCCATTTTGTCACAGGACGATTTGCCCCATTAGATATGCCTGCTCCAAATATTCTAGAGGCATTTCTAACAGAGGAATTTGTAAAATGTTTACAATAACAATAGCATTATGTAAATACATGGAGTAAGTAGTTATAATATTTCTAAGTTAGTTACATTGCATTGTATCTCTCAAGTCATTAAATAATTTTCATTGCATTCCTTGATCTAGTTTTCATTTGATACCTAGCCTGAAACAGAGCACCCTAGACCCTGCTCTTCACTCAGTCTAAGTATAGTGACGTTATTTTGCAGTTAGATCATATTAACTTTTGGATATACAGCACTGACAATTCAGTCA